GCCGGCAATGTGCTCTTGTGGCCCAGAAGCCAACCGCATCCGGGGCTGCATCAAGAGGAACGTGGCCAGCAGGTCGAGAGAGGTGATTCTCCCCCTCTACTCTGCGCTCGTGAGCGGCAGTTGGTACTCGCCTATTATTTCAGCTGTTCCAGCTGTCATTCTTCCTCTCCCCTTCAGGGTCAGAGGAGGGCCACGAAGATGATAAGAGGGCTGGAGCACCTTTCCTATGAGGACAGGCTGAAAGAGTTGGGGCTGTTCAGCCTGGAGAAGAGAAGGCTCTGGGGTGACCTTATAGCGGTCTTCCAGTACCTCAAGGGGGCCTACAGGAAAGATGGGGAGAGGCTGTTCAGGAGGGCCAGTTGTGATAGGACAAGGGGTAATGGTTTTAAAATAGAGGGAGGTAGATTCAGATTGGATATTAGGAAAAAAATTTTTACCATGAGAGTTGTAGAACACTGGAACAGGTTGCCCAGAGAGGTGGTGGATGCTCCATCCCTGGAGACGTTCAAGGCCAGGTTGGACGAGGCCCTGAGCAACCTGATCTAGTTGGAGATATCCCTGTTCCTTGCAGGGGGGTTGGACTAGATGACCTTTGAAGGTCCCTTCCAGCCCTAACCATTCTATGATTCTATGACTATGTTGTATAGACAACTGTATACTTCTCTTTGGCATTCTTTGAGGAAAGGGCAATTTTTTTTGGCATAGTTCACACTGACTCACAAAACAAGGGCCTGAAAATAGATAGCTGATGGGCTATCTTAATGCCATTGTATGGCATCCTTTTGTCACCACTGAGTCCTCTGATACTGAAGTACCTATGTGTTGTGACAGTCTGTATCATCTCTGTTTAATTATGGATAATGTGTAGTTTATGGGAGAATTCGAGTGTAAAGTGTCCTAGGATTTTTTTGTGGTTTCATTTAAAAAATTGGAATTACTGTTTCAGTCTTTAAACAAGAGTTGAGTTACAGTCTTTATATTTTTCCTGAGGAGTGATGTAACCTACATAAAAGTGTGATTCAATAATTTTATTGTCTCTTTCCGTCCTCCCTCTCTCAGCTTCGTTTTTAGTGTAGCTTTCCTACGGAATAGTGTAGTGAGATTTCGAAGTGAGCCTTTGCTCTCTATCCCTGCAATTCTTTCCTGGTACTACAGATTTTTCTGACAACTAATCTATTGATGTATCTTGGCAATATTATGAAGCTTGCCCAAAGAGCCAATAAATGGCTGATATCAATTATTTATTTTTAATTAACATTATAAGTTACAAAAATAATTTCATAAAAATATTATTTAATGTGTAATTATATTAATATAATTTTACATTATTTATACTTATATAGCCTTGTATAACTTTTATTCAAATAAAGGTTTTTGTAATTTATAAGCTGCAGCATGTTAATGCTGAAGTACTGATGAATTTTATTTTTGCCTCCTATTATTTCAGGAAGTATTTGTAGTGGTACTTGTAATGAGAATTATAAGCTGCCAGTGCTATACACGATGTTTGTAAGAAAGAAATATCGTGGGAAAGACTCTGGGCTAATCATGTTGGAAGACTTTGTGAATTCCTTTACTGGAGATGCTCTTGGCCTACGATACCCGCTGTCATCTTTCATGTTCACAGGCAAGCTCTTTGATTTGTTCTCCTGTTCTTCTGTTTTCTTTACTCGTCTAAATGAGTGCTGTCATTCAGGCTCTATGTTTGTGCCTGCATGCTCAGTTTTTGAATTAAATGTTCTGCTCTTCAGTGAAGGTTAAAGATCCTGATTTGTTTAAGATGAAGTAGTTCCTGATCAGCTTTTTAATCCTCTGCATGATTATTGGATCTCCATTGGCTTTCTGCTGCTGTGATGTTACTCTGTATCCCCCTCCAACCCGAGAGGGTTATGTCATCTAGGACATGACACACATTCTAGAAATGCTCTTACTTGGGACTGTTCAGGAAAGAAGCAAGTTTCCTTTGCCTTGTTTGGCTTGTCCTATTCTTATGCCATCTGTCAGGCTTCCTTTTATGAACACTTTTATCTGGCCTTATTAGGCATTGGAAGTTTTCTGCTTTTCCACGTACCACTGTCTGTTGTTGGATCTGACTGTGCCTGGTTTGTTAGGCTTCAACCAGCAAACTGTCTTGAGCAGAGTTTAATGACTAATCCATTTCCCTGGTCAAGGAAAGGTGCAACAGGGATCTTGTCCACTGAGATTGTGCATCCGTAGTGAACTGGGTGAAAAATGGTGGTTTTCCTGGTGGCTACTACAGAATAATGTTAAAGTATGCCTCTCCATGTGGATGTATAGTATGTGTATTGGGATAAAAGAAGTCGAGGGACAGCAAAGAAGAAAATATTCCAGAAGTGAACAGTGGGTGGATGATAAACTATGCAATGGTAATGTTTGCATTCCCAAAGAGTGCTTTTCATGAGTGCCTATAATAACGTGGGGTGACAAAAAATACTTGACTATATCCTCAATCTAAGAGCCCTTCCATCCTGGGTTGGGTCTTGTGATTGGCAGAGACAGTGACCGGTAAGCTGTAGGTGCTTAGAAAAGGATAAAAAAATCCTATCCATCTTTGCTTGCAGTTTAATATAATAATGGAAAGTGTTTTTTCTTATGTTTGTTCAGTTTGTAAGCAATATCTTGAGAAGTACCCTGGGAATCGTAACCTTTTGTGGGAAGTGAGGGGAGCAGGATTTTCGTTCCAGAGAACATCCATCGTATCTAAACTGCAAAAGGAAAGGGTCACAATTGCAGGTATGAATGCTTTAGTTTGTGGTTTTTTTCTCATGCTTTGTAAAAGTTGAACAAACACTCTACAGGTACAACAGTGACTTCTGTGATCACTGCCCATGGAAACTAGCAGAAAGATTTTTCTGTCCTGAAATCTGTGAGATCATATTTGAAATGGCTAATTGTTATACAAAGGTACTATAATTTTGTTTCCTGTTTCCTCTTTGAAATCTGAACAGCAGAAGGCTCTCGGAGAGGAAATGAGAGCATCCAAAACGAGAATGTCCAAACAGAGGTTAATCTTCAGCAGTCTGCAACAGTGTCAGAAGCAAGTGGAGAGAACACTGAGCAAGGAACACACTCAAGAGTAGGTGTCTGTACAGGCTGTTATCCATGTATTGAAAAGGCTTGAGAGCTTTCAAGTTTTCTATGCTCGTATAGTGTATCTTGTCCTATTCTTCTGACTTCACTTGTTGTTTATGTTTAGTAGATATTTTTAACTTCTATAAAAGAATACATTTCTGAACTTAAGAAATGAAGGATTTCAAGAGATTAGTATGTTTGATCAACTGACTTTATGCTTGCTTGATATTTCAAGTTCTCGAACAGTCCTGGGTTATGCAGAGAGCTTGTACTTTCTGTATCTCTTCACTTGAATTGGCAGAGAGTCTGATGGAACCCATGGCTTTTACCAGAAAGCCTTTGATTGCTTTGCTTTGTTACTAAAAAAACTAAGTATGAGAAATACTTTTTGTCTATCTCATTGTAATTGAATTGGCTCAAGTCTGCACTTTTTAAGTAAAGAGACAAGTGCTCTTGTTACTTTTTGGGTGGATATAATGCTTCCCACTGATGTAAGACCCATGACTAAGCTGGGGTTAAAAAATACCAGGGTGTTTTTTTGTGGGGATGTGGGGTGCCCCCATGAATGTAAAGAGTCTGTGCCACAGCTGTCAGGGTCTACAATTTGAGCTGTTTGCTAGTTGCTTAAAGAAGGGAGAGTATTTCGGTGTGCTCTGAGATTAAATGTCTAGAAAGGCTGTTGAATGGTAGGGTCATCATTAAAAGCAGAGAGAATGAGGAAAAGTGTTCATAGAAGCTCATGTTCACATCACAGTTGAATACAACAAAAAGTGTTTAGTTTGCATTCAGGGTTATACATTGTCCATATAGGACTGCATCTTCCTTTGTACATATTTGAAATACCAGTCAGATTTCAGCTACAGATGGATATGTGATCATGGATATATTCATGTCTTAGAGGAACAGCTTCATAATATTCAATCTCATTTGTGTTCTGACACCATACAGAATATGCTTGAGAATAACTTGTAGCTCCAAATATGGTGAGCCTCAATTTGTGTTCTTCACAACTATCTGTAGTATTGACATGACCATGCTCTCATAGAAGTCAATGCTTTAATTAAAAATAGGAAATAATGGCTGAATCAATATTCTCAGCTATTAGTATCTAAAATTTAGATTTGAAATGTAAGGCAAATGTCTCTTTTCCTAGTTGAGAAAATTAGCATTTCCCAGAGCAAAACTGACAGCAAAGTTGTGGTGTTTTTAGTCTCTAAGTGACCAGAAGCAGCCATTATCTTTCATTTGTCTTGCATATCATCACTGAGTTCTGGATTCGAATTCCAATAATGATCATATCAGCAAGAGAATCTAAAAATCTATGGCTTGGTTGTAGAGCTATATGGATATACTTGGAGAAGATAACAAAAGGATAGTAATTCTTAAGATTTTTGTTGCTGTGAATTAAAAACTGAAGCCTTGTCACTTTAGCATCTTACTGTCTTCCTGGAAGAGGAAGACAGTAGATGCCAAAGTGCTTCAACTCCTCATAGCTTGGTAGAATTGCTAATTGCTGGCAGCTCTCTTCTTGGCAGCTGCGCTATCCATAAGCAGTTCTGCAATGCTTTGAAAGCTGTTGGACCGCCAAACAAAACAAAATACCCATCTTCCCCCAAACCAGGAAAAAACATTTCCCAACTTTCCTTTTCACCTTTCACTTAGTGCTTCCTATTTTATGTGTTTTGATGCTAGAAAATTTGTCATTACTCTACAAATTCTTATGTATGAAACTCACTTGAAACTGTTTCCAGCAGCAGAATGTAAATATGGCCAGTTTTTGCTGGCCTCCTTGGAAGTGAAGCTGGAAAGGTGGCAGAACACCTGGCTGTTGGTTATTGTCAGTTCAAGTTTACCTTCAGCAGCTAAGGAAGAACAATGTGCATAACTTTATTTTAATGTGTACAGCTTGTACCCGAATCAGAGTATGAAGTGCTTGACCACAGTGCTTCCCAGCTGTAGGGAGAGGGAATTCTGACATAAGCAGCTGCTTGTGCTGGCTATGCATATAACCTGCATTACTGCTGAATCACTAAGTTCTGTGTTTGTCTTGTCTGATCTCTTTTTCTACATGGGCTGCCATGATAAAAATAAGACTACAAAATAGAATATAAAAATAAAACTTTCCTGTTAAATTTTGTCAGCTACTATAGTGTAGTCTTTTGGGTTTATACAGAAAGGGAAAACAAAAAAAAGACTTCTAGCATTTAATTATGTGGATACCTGTAAAAAATTGAATGGCTAGGAAAAAACTTTGTAGTGTTGTTTATAATGATAGGTTACTTTCAAGTGTTATCTTTTTGTCTTGAGGCCAGATGTAAAATACATAAAAAAATACTCATCCTTGTAATAAAGATAACTAAAAAAAAATCTGTTGAGAGACAAGATACATACATGTAAGTATCTTGAATTAACAATGTTGTAGCTGCACTTCCTTGGGATCATTACTATTAAATATCACTGTAGAAAGATACAACCACAGATAGGTAGATGAAGGTATTTAAATCAATTCAGAAGTTTTTGGAATAACATTAGCTTTGCTTTTGCTTCACAGACTGCCTCTCAAAAAGGTAAAGAATCAATAGATGTCTATCCAAGCACATCTAAAGGTAACAATAACCTTGATTATCAGTATTGTGATAACTGTGGATTAGAATCATAGAATCATCTGGTTGGAAGAGACCTTCGAGATCATTGAGTCCAACCGTTCACCCTGCACTGTCACGGTCCCTAAATCATATTGCTCAACACCAAATCTACATGGTTTTTAAACACCTCCAGGGATGGGGACTACACCACCTCCCTGGGCAGGCTGTTCCAATACTTCACAACCCTCTCTGTAAAGAAACTTTTCCTGATATCTAACCTAAATTTCCCCTGGTGCAACTTGAGGCCATTCCCTCTCGTCCTGTCATTCATAATGTGGGAGAAGAGACCGACCCCCATCTCCCTACAACTTCCTTTCAGGTAATTGTAGAGAGCGATAAGGTCCCCCCGATAATAGGTTATATGGATTTTTACTGCTTTCAATACTAGTGTACTCATCTGCAAAGCATACAGAAACATGCCTTCCTTTAAGGTGCTGAGGCTCAACTCAGGAACCTTTTAAAGGACTTTGAATAAAATTGTTATGAGTCTTGGCAAAGACGTTATGCATGTGTATTCAGAAAAATAGTACCACAATGAAATGCTGTTTTACTTGCACTCAGTTGTTTTCATGAAATACTATGGGGAGAAAAGTACATGCAGATCGTAGACTGCTTTTTTTTTCGCTTGCATTTATTTTATTGTTTTGTGTTTCTTTTCCTAAGACCCTAACATAGCTCCTGTTTCCATTCGGATACGAGGCAGTTGTTTAAAACGTCCCAAGACAGGAAAAAGTCACCAGGAATCTGAACCTGGGACTTCCCAAGGAGGTAAAGAAAGTGCTCCTCATGTGTCAAAAATCAGGTAAAGGAACCCATATTTTACTGATTCGTTATTTTGCTGCTTGGACAGTCACAAACTACATCACTGTCTCAGTGTGCTGCTTGGTATTTCTTCTCACTTCCTACTTTACTTGCTTGATTTTAAAATTATTGAAAATAAAGCCTGATGTGGGCGAGAACTGAGACATCACCTGAAGTGCGATTGCACCAAAATGTAGTGTCTCTGAAAGCTTGGGAGATACTGGAAAGAACAGTAAGAAAACAGTGAGGTCTGAGGGTGTTCTGTTCTAACTAAATCTGCATGAAGATAAAAACATCTGTATTCATACAGCATAGTTTCTTGTCATAACGTAACTGGACATGTATCCACAATGCTCTGTGATCTTTGGAGAGATGTGTCTTCCTGACCTCTTGTTATAGTGGCATATTGCAGTAAAACAAGATCTGACTGTTTAACTTGGGAGCTGATTACTGCTTGTCACTTAATAATGAAAGAGTTATAGGGAGCCACCTGTCTTCAAAGTAAAGCCCTTTGTTTAGACAAAATCGGATATAAACCCATCATATCCAAACTTATACCCTGGGAGAAAATAAGTTGTTTCCAGTTTAAAGGATGTTACCCAGTGTAATAATTGTTAAATGGGGATGTGAAGAATTGTACTGCTTGAGTGCTATAATAATTCATACAAGACAGGGCCTGAAATACTAGTTTGCACTGACTTCCATACAGAAGGCAGAACTGTGGCTATTAAATAAATTGCTCCTTCCTCCCCCTTCCTGTGTGTGAGTAGATGTATGCTCATAGACACATGCTGCCTCCTCACCTCCATGTGTCTCTCCCTATTGTAGTCTCTTTCAAAAAAAAAAAACCACTGCAACCCCAAAAACCTCTTTGGAAAAACTGAAGATAACTTGATTATTTTCTAGGAAATCCCTCAAACTTGTTCCATTAGATTTCTTTAAACAAAATTAGTTTGTTCTTTTTTTCACATGAAGCTGAGGTCTTCAGCTGGGTACAGCCTAATTTTTGTGTTTAAATTGCTCTGTAGAACTACAGAGATAGAACACTGCTGTCCTGCACTGTCAGGGTGCTGCCCTAAGCTGGTTCAGACAGGCCAAATGGCATAGTTTGCTGCCACAGGTTGAGAAATTCTTTGCCCTGTTACTACTAATAATTGGCTAGTTGGTATGTGAGAGGACTAGCCTGTTATTGAATGTCAGTATTTTGGGCTTTGCAAAATGAAGTCAACGAGGCGCCACTGCTCCTTTGAACAAGATGTGTAACATGGTGTTTGTGAACAGACCGAAGGGGAATCCCAATGGCAACAGGGCAGGGTATGAGCTTGGCTCTTTCCTTCTGTGCACATTAGCAAATGCAGCAGGCTCTTCTGTCAGGGGCTTTCTGCTATGGAGTGCCTTCATCTCAAAACAGGACCTGGGATAAAACCTTCCAATACTGCCTTTATTATGAGATCATGAAGCAGCCTCCTGCAAATCTATTGCATGTACTTTTTTCTTTCCTTGTGTGTCATACTTCAGTTAGTCTAAGTTTTATCTCAAAAATGAGAACCAAATGTTTGACATAGTGTTACTACCCATCAGCTGCATCACAGCTTCATCTCTAGCTCTTTGCTAATGTAATCTCTAGCTGATTGAATCCTCTTCAGCCATGATGTGTTTATTGCCTTGAATTGTCTTCTGGCCATGGTCTCTGTAATGTATGTACATTCAGCAATTATACAAACATATTTACGTTTATAACTCCATAATTTTAAACTGTTTCTACAGTGGGGGTGGGTGAAGTTGATTCCTTTTTCACCCCTTTGTGGCTTCTAAATATGTAATGGAATACTGTTTTTCTAAATGTAAAATAACAGACTTAAATTTCTGACTTCTGTTGCCATAAAATGGAAGCAAGATGTCTTCATTTTATAATTACCAAAGCAATTTTTACTAGTTGCTTCTTTTTTATCCTTAAAGAGGAGTTAGCCATTTTTAGATGAATTTATCTTTCTGAATTCTTACTTCCTATGGCAAGCATGTGATACAGCACTTGGTCTTGAAAGAATTTTACTGCTGAGATCAGAAAAATTATGTATTAATCTGAAGAATTAAAGGATATATCTTAATACCTGCTGCAGGGTAGAATTTCATCCCCATACATCTGAAGACTTAGTAGAAATACCTGAGAATATTGTTGAGACAGATGAAGAAACCATTGTTGAAAATGAGGACCAGCCTGTATCAGAAGCGGAGCTACATGTGTCACCCTCTGAGAAACGGAGTGAAAAAGAGGTCAGCTGGATGTGATAGTGATAGCAGATAAGTTTGGAATACAACTGCAGTTTCTGTGAAGTATAGTCCTTGCTGCCTTGATCCATGTGCCTATCAACTCTATTTTTTTTCGTACCAATGCTCATAGAATCATAGAATCATAGAATCATAGAATCATAGAATCATAGAATCATAGAATCATAGAATCATAGAATCATAGAATCATAGAATCATAGAATCATAGAATCATAAGGGCATAGAATCATAGAATCATAGAATCATAGAATCATAGAATCATAGAATCATAGAATCATAGAATCATAAGGGTTGGAAGGGACCTTAAAGATCATCTAGTTCCAACCCTCCTGCCATGGGCAGAGAAATCCTCCACTACACCAGGTTGCCCAAAACCTCATCTAATCTGGCCTTGAACACTTACAGGGATGGGGCATCCACAACTTCTCTGGGCAACCTGTTCCACTGTCTCACCACCCTCAATGTAAAAAATTTCTTCCTTCTATCTAATCTAAATCTGCCCTCTTTCAGTTTAAATCCATTGCCCCTTGTCCTATCACTACATGCCCTTGTAAAAAGTCCCTCTCCAGCTTTCCTGTAGGCCCCCTTTAAGTACTGGAAAGCTGCAATAAGATCACCCCGGAGCCTTCTCTTCTCCAGGCTGAACAGCCCCAACTCTCTCAGCCTGTCTTCATAGCAGAGATGTTCCAGCCCTCGGATCATCTTCATGGCCTTCCTCTGGACTCGCTCCAGTAGCTCCATGTCCTCCTTATGTTTGGGACTCCAGAGCTGAAAGCTTATATCTAAGAAGCTAAGGCTAGTAAAGCATTAGCTTCAGGGAATATTCTATTATACTTATTTTGAACAATATAGTTTATAAGATTTTCAGTAAGGTGAATTTCTAGCTCATCTACCAACCTAATTTAATTCATTTCCCCTACTCAGATATTCTAGAGAACTGGAGTAAGGTCAAGATTTAATCCAGTATCTCTAATTTCTTTTTTAAAAGTTTATTTGAAGAAGCCAATAGCTGGTATGCTTTGGTGACTATTGTTGACTCTTTTTGCTTCGCCACTTAAAGTTGCTTGCTTTGATGTTTAAATATAGCTTTTACCTACAACTTGTTAACAGCTTGAATTTAAAACTGTGAGTACCCTTTATGTCTAGCATCCAGGGTTTTATGTGCTTACTGATCAGTGAGAAAGTGGATCTCTCACTATGTTGGTTCAAGGAAAGGCTGCAGAATGTATGCTTGAGCTGCATTAAAAACTGCTTGGTTTGGCTTTTGACAATGTAAGCAATGGTCAGAAATTTAGTGTGGGTGATGATGCTAAGCTAGTATGTTGGTTAAGTTAGCTATTCTGCAATAAGCTCTGCCTTCTTAGTACACATTTCTAGGTACCTGAGTGATCTGCTTCTCACATTAAGCTGCAAATTTACATCAGGTACACCCAGTAGTGTTAGGGAACAATGGCTGGGCATAATCTTGACTTAAAATATATGATTTTTTTAGGAAATTCCATCAGACTCTCTTAATAGTGAGGTAACAGAGGAAACTGATAAGACCTCACTTATGGCTGAAGAGGAAACAGGAAATGAAGTTTTAAGTGGTGAATCACAATTGAAGGCTGAGAGTCAAGAAGAAACCGCAGTAGTGGCTGCTCCTTTAATCCATGATTCTTCAGCAGAATCTTCGGAAGACACTATAGTAGAGAAGGTGAGGAAACAATTTAAAGTCATCTTTCCTTCAGAGTGTACTTACCTTGCTGTTTTTTCTTTTAAGTAACAGATAGACATTAGCCCTTACCATCATATGAAATTCTTGGGAGAAGCAATTACTAGGCCAGATAATGTAAATTCATAAGCAGAATATACTAATGCTTCTATTTTAATACGCAGAAGTGGAGCATATATGCATGTGGTAGCAAAAAGAAACATTGCTCCAATTTGCCTTGGCAGTAATGAAACAGCTCTTTCTCACTAAAATATTGTTGGATAGGAGTGAAAAGCCACATCCTTACTTTGCCTAGTAATTCTGTCCTGATGGAAGTGTACAAGCAATTCATTACTGCTAAAAGACCCTTCTATGCACAGATTTTACTGTCTTTTGTTTATAGTCCAAAAGCAGATTGTTGTATGCTAACGAAATGATAATGTACGTGTCCAAAACAAAACCTATTTTTTTCCTGGGATCAATTTCAGAATGTTTTTACTGTACGTGAATAATCCTTTGAATAATTTGAATTTGGAAATAAGAGAGCAATTTTGTATATCCAGTGCAGCTTATAAAGTAGTCTCAGACAAAAAGGAGAAAAGTACTGGTTTGACTGTACATGAAGTATTAAAAACTGCTGAATACCAAAATATTTTTTGAGATTGCTGCCTAGGGGCAGTGGTTGTTCAGCCTTTTATATCTTCAATTAACTGTCCCTTTGGTTGTTTTGGCACTCTTCCTCTGCCCCTACAGGATCTGAATGCAAGTGATTCAGAAGTGCAGACTGAAGGAGATACGTTAGTGGAGGAGGGTGGCACTGAAGAACAGCAAGAAGCCGAAAAGACCACCACTGAAAATGCAGCTGCTTCAGCTTCAAAGGAAGATGCCTCTGGCAATGACCTGCCCAGCCCTATGGTACCTGAAGCAGCAGAAGAATCTCTCTCTGAAAATCTGTCACCCAAAACATCTTCCTCATTAGAAGATCAAAATGAGGAAGCAGGGCAGAACTCACAGGAGGCCCCTGTTGCTGTGAGTCAGAGCTCTTTGATAGTGGTTGAACTCGAGAATTTTTCTTTTCAGCAGCCTTCTGGACAGGAAGAACAGAAGAACCAGTTGGAAGAGCACTCAGAGTCTGTTGAGCGGATGGATCAGTACACACAGACAGCAGTGGAGCAGGCTGCTGACAGTAGCTCTGAGGAGGCAGAAATCGAGGTACCTGTTGTAGATCGGAGAAGCTTGCGAAGAAAGGCCAAAGGCTACAAAGGTCCAGCGAAGAAAAAAGGGAAGCCAGCTTAACAATGAAATATTGATTGTTAATTCATCTATTTATAAGAAAGTTATTTTGTGTAAAAACACTGGGGTGTAAATAAACCATATGGGACATGAGATGCATGGTTCAAATTCTAGGTTGGACTTCCTCTTGGGATTCATCACCTTTCCTCAAGTTTTCTTAAATTTTTAACCAGAGTATGAAATTAAATTTTTCATCAGAGTATGAAAGTAAACAGCCAGACTCCTCCTTTTATAAAGGATATGTGCTGAATAAATACAGGGCTAGCAGAGAACAGATTGCGTTGAGATGGCAGTCGTGGAAGGAAAAACAGTGTGAAATCCTGGCCCTCTCAAGGTCCCTTAAATTCACATAAACTTCCATGAGGCCAGATATCACTCTAGCATTTTTTTCAATAACTGTTCTCTACTGTGGACAGAAGCAGAGCAAGAAAAATCCTTATTCGCCTCTTGTTCTTTCCCCATAGATTTTTCTCAGATGAGATTAGAAGAATGTAAGATTCTGTAACTCTAGGTCTCAAAATACACAAGGTGTATGTAACTCAGTAGATGAAAACAACATCTCAGCATCTGCCTTTCATGGAATTGCTTGAAAAAGCTGAGTTAGGAGAAACATGGTCAGTGCAGAATCTGCCATAGTGCACTCTGATGAAGTTCTTCACGTGACAAGAGATGCCAACAGAGTAAACTATTTGTAGCTTCTAAAGTGATCATCTTGGTAAGCATAAATTTTCCAGAGTCTATGGAGTGTAGCCTCCAGTTACATATATGAGCTTGTTTGAACTGCCTTCCTAACTACTTCCATGTGTTGAGTGGATATGTGATTGTTTACACTACAGGAAAAGGATATGGCAACTTCTGATCTTGTTTTGATCAGAATAGAAGTGGTGCTTTGTTTTCCCAATACTCAGCTGGTGCTGTGGGGTAACTGTTAAGATGTTGTGTCTGCCAGGTGTGTGACTCCTGAGAATGCTGGCGTTTCAGGTGGTTGTGACATTCATTAGTGTCAATATTAGTGGGTGTTTCAGCAAATGCTTGTCTGCCAAACTTCTATGCCTTTAGGAGTTAGCAGGTGATTGCTTGCAAGTATTTCTGATTCCCACTTTCTTTTTCTAATTTGGGTGTAATCCCTGGGATGATAGCTTCAAAGTTCACAGATGTTCACAACCTAACTCTACTGTATGCAAATGGAAATAAAACCCAGCTTTTCATGCATGTTTCCCTTCTCCTGGCAATCCATGTATTTAACTTCATTTGTTACAAATACAATGAATTACTCCTTAGTTTGCTATGTGTTTCTTTCAATAAATGAAGCTGTTCTCATAATGGGTTCAAAACTTGGGAGAAAAAAATAACAATGGTTCTAAGAAGAGGAAACCACACCACTACTTGTCCTGCTATTTGCATTTTCTAAGATCAGTGAACTAGTCTCCTACAGTGTCTCAAAATGGAGGTATGTAGGAATTGCTGTTCAGGACTTCTGAGTGCAAAGTTCACTTGACTTGTTGTGATGCTGTCTGAACTTTTATCCCTCTATGAAGCTAATGAAAGAATCTTGATTTTTGGATTTTATGCTTATACAGTTTAACTGCATTTATAATATATTCTAACTGTATAAGGTACATTCATGCTATTTCTTTCAGCTTATAAAGTCCATGCTCCTTTTTAATCTGTTAAGAGCAGCTTACAGCAAATAAAAAAGCAATTTTTAAGAAACATGTTACCTAAACTTTAGATTCAGGGTGCATGGGTTTACTGAGTTAAATCTGGGTTTCTTGAACTATTGCACATAGCTGTGACTTCCTATGAATGTGCATAGATACTCCTTATGAACCCCTTGACTGATATGTTCACAATCTTTCATGATTGTTTGTCAACATAATTCAAGTGAACTTTAAGCATTTCTAAAACTAATCAAGCATTTCCTACAAAGCAGAGGAGACAAAACTTCTGTTAGCACTAAAAGTGAAGCCACACAGAAAATATGATTTTTTTGTGTGTGTGTAAAAAGAGGAAAAAAAAAAAAGTGGCTAGAAAATAGACCTATGGATTTGTGAAGGCTGGTGGCTTAAAGGGTGTTTGTATACAGTATATTGTGACTCATCTTCAATTATTAGAGCAAGCTTTACTAAAGGTTAATCTGAGTACTTCAATTGATACAAATGTATCCACTTTCAAGAAGTTAAGGATTCTTTTGCTTATGAAAAGTGAGTCCCGGTTATTTCAATTACCTCTAGGTGGATTTTTGATATTGGTATTTATTGCTTGTATTCCCTGTGAGGTCAGAAAACAGTGGTCCTGAGAAAGGTAATCATGGAATGGTTTGGGTTGGAAGGGACCTTCAAGATCATCTAGTTCCAACCCCCCTGCTGTGGGCAGGGACACCTTCCACTAGATCAGATTGCTCAAAGCCTCCTCCATCCTAGGCCTCATCCATCCTGGCTTTGAACACCTCCAGGGATGCGGCATCCACAGCTTCTCTGTAATGTCACTCATCTGGCTCTTACTTTTTGTGGCTAAGTTGGAACTGATTTCAATTAGTGTCTTTCTTTTAAGACACTTGCATATTGAATACATAAATATTCCAGCAGGATAATTAAATTAGGTCAGTCTTGAGTTTCTACTGAGAACAGTTGGATTTCTGATCTCATTTCAGTGAGTCCGTTTTAAATACTGAACTTAACTTCGCATCTTTAAGTATACTCTTGATTAGATACCTCTGTAAGTCTGGGGTACCCTGAGATAGTAGCTTATGGTCAAACTCAAAAGTACATAATGTGGGTACTTGGGGTGCAATTAGCAATTCTGATAACCCATAGTGTCTTGAAAACAGGACATTTTTCTAATTTTGATCACAGCAGTACTCTGAAGTAAAGGGCACTGTTTATTTCTATAGTAACTTCTTTGGTGTCAATAATCTTGCAGTAAATAAAGTAGCAAAATCAAACTACTGACTTCAGTAACAATTTTTATTGCTGTACTGATTGTCCCATTGGAACAGTAGCTTAATACTCCATACCTTCTGTTACATTAAGGCCAGATAACATTTCTGACAACTGTATTGACTAAAGTGCTTTGCCTTGGGGAAAACCGGTGCTTTTTAGGCCTGGACAATTTTTTTTTTTGGTCTGTTAACTGTCTTATTACCATCAAACTCATGAAGAATTTTTAAGATCTTATTGCACCAGCAACCAATGATTAAAACACCAACTTTATACAAGTTTGTACCAAATGCTGTTACAACCTGCTGTGGAACTACATGTGTACAGTGAAAGCAAGCAGTATTATTTTTGAGTTTTATTTAGTCTAGGAATAGAGCTTAAAGAATACTAATTTGTGACTTCAGCCTTGCACTTCAAGGGTAAATGGTTTTGTGTGTGAATCCAACTTGCATCATACATTTGTTCAAATGTCTCCCTTGCAAAGCAAATCCTGTCAAAAATTAACAAGCAGCACTTCTCCTGCATTCTCCTTTGCTCTGTTTTCATTTCGTGCAGAATTCTTGTTTGCTGTTCTCATTTTTCATAGCCCTTTACATGAAAATGTATACATGTCTTATTTCAAAAGTGATTTTAACTTATTTGAAATCACACCTGACCTTGGTTTCTTGCGTTTTTACATCATGTCAGCTGTAGATGTGAGTAATCAAATTGATCATTCACAACACCATCAAGACTACTAAGTTAAACATAGCAACCAATAGGCCTAGGCTTCAGCTTCTCTGCTTTAAGTAACCACTCTAAGATTTTACTTCAAAGGGGATAAACTTCTATATTTATTTTCACAAATGTCCTGTTAGATGTTTTCTAAACTAGTGATACCCTGTTTATAAATCTTATGAAAAGTGTGGTGCTGTTCTAGAGTATTGTACTTAAGCCTTGTTACAGTGTTAGTTTCTCCTTTTTTCAGTACTGTCTTGGCTACTTTGGAAATGTTTTGAAGTAGTAATTAAACTTATATTTTGTGATGATTTTGTTTCCTGGTTTTTAATATTTGAGACTTTTCTACTATACAGGAGGCATGTTTTAAAGTGGTTCACTTCACTAGAACTAGCATTTTACAATCTGTCTGCTACCAAAGAGCTTTAAAAGCTCAAATATTAATTGAAAAATCTTTTATCAATTAAAACAATTTCCTGTACTTACTTAGCTTGTGCATCAGACTTTTATAAAAATAAAAAAAAAATGTAGCATAGGCTGTTCTGAATGTTACAGTGTGTATTCTGCTCTTTACATCATCTTGTATAGTTGGTATAAACTTAAGATATTAACGTAGCTTCCTATAGACAAGCCAACTAGAAATACTGTAATGCACTCCCTTCTGTGCGGTACACTAAAATGTCTTTAGGTGCAACAATTATTCAGCCAACAAGTCATGTCTTTGCAGTATAAAATGTAGTAATGTTCTTGAGACAGCTGTAGAAAATTGCAGTATTCTGTTCATGTTATTTGTTAACATGCAGTAAAGGGCAAGGTGACAAGAACTTAGAGGCTTATCTGCTTTAGCAAAACGCCCTCTCGCCAAGCAAATGACTCACTGGCTTGTGACTCTCTTAGTTTCACATCTCTTGCCACTACACAAAGTAAAAACCTTACTGTGTTTTATTAAGCCTAGATGAGGGCAATGTGTTAAACAAAACAGCCTGTAAGAGGAGAAGATTTTAGTATGGTTAAAATACTGCCTCTATCAGACAGTGTAAAAGAAGCTAGAAATCTGGTACAAAAGCAGCTAGCTTGACTTCCTGGCCAAAGTTCCAGATCTGAAGCATGATTTGGTCAGGAAGATGGTTGAGGGACTGGAGCATCTGTCATACAAGAGGCTGAGAGCTGCAGTTCTTCAGCCTGGAGAGGAGAAAGCTCAGGAGGACCTTAATTTGTGTATAAGTACCTCATAGGGGGGTGGTATAAAGAAGATGGAGCAAGAGTCTTCTCGGTGCCCAGTGACAGGACAAGAGGCACCAAACACAGACTGGAATATAGGAAATTCTATTTAAACATGAACCACTTAAAACTTTAAGAATGGTCAAACACAGGATCAGGTTGCCCAGAGAGGCAACCCAGAGGTATCTCCTTTCCTTTGAGATACTCAGATACTTACAGTAGTTGACTCCTCTTTAAGCAGGGAGCTTGCACTACGCAATCTCAAGAGGTGCCTGCCAACCTTAATTATTCTGTGATTCTGTAATCTGTTACTCAGCCTGCTTATTGCACGTCACCACCTCTAGCCTTAAACGTTTGTTAACACAAAACCCACAAACCTATTCACATTCTGGCTTCTGAAACTAAGACCTTAAGAGTTTTGTCTGAAAGTTTCCTTCTTACAATGATGAGGATTAAGTGTGCTTTCATAAACTGGAGGAAGCTTAGAAGGATTTGACTTGGAATTCATGTTAAAAGCTTGGCTTGAAGTGTAGTACTGTTTAAGAACAGGAATATAAAATGGTGAGAATGTTTATTTGTAGTGATAGATTGTGTAAAGTTTGTTTACCACCGAATTCTTTAGTGGAAGACAACTGATGCAGTCATATACAGCATTGCTGAAAGCTTCTAGTTTAGGAGCAGTTTTTGTTTCTTATAGCTTGAGTATGCAAGCTAAATATATATATTGATGAGTTGATGCTTGTGACCTTTAGTTTTTCCTGAATGTTTCTTAAAGGCACCAAAATTGCTACTAGTTGTAGTATCAGGGCTGTCATGCCACTCTCAAATTTCACATTTCAAAACCCCTACAACTTCATAAATTTAAACTTCTGAAACCGTTCTCCCTCTTGGCTGGAACCACAGTTGCTACACTCTCTAGCCCTTATTCTTTCCATTAACGCAATCATAGAGGCAAAGAGGAAAAAAACGTGAGGTAACAGGGGCAGGGTGGAGGAAACAGCTGCCCTCCTACTTATCTTCCCCTGCTGCATCCCTATGCTGCTAGTGTGTTCTCACGCCCATGCTTCTGTAGAGGCAAGTATCACACTAGGCGTCTGTCAGTCTGCAATAAGATTACAGCTGCATTCTTCCAGCTCTTTTGCTTTCCCAGAAGCAGAATACATGTTCCTCTGTGCCTTTAGCTATTACAGTAGGCCATCATGGGAGATAACAGCTGTATCTTGCATCACTAGGAATGTGACCTGAATTAGATGTAATGTGTAAATACTTCAGCCAGGAAGCTTCAACGGTAAAAACACCAAGAAGGTTGAGACCAAATCCATACCACATTAGCAAAATGAAAATGGAATCACTTTATTTAGACCCCATTCAGCAGAGCAAACACAATACATACAAAATCCCAAGCAGCTGTGAAGTTCCTCACCAGCTTATGAGGTCAATGTTCCTGAATGGTTGAAGGTTCCAGAGATCTTGGAAACTTGTTGGAACTGCACTGATTTTGCGGGAGCCCATGTCCAATGCTTAGTATCAAACGCAACTCAAACAAGTAGAACTGCATTAATACAGCCATCATTTTCTGGATTGTTTGTTACTTGTGCATATTTCCCTAAAGAGAAAGAAGAATTAAATGTCTACAAAAGCTTGAAGTAGTTAATACAATAAATTAAAATTCTCTACGTTTGCAAGTTCAATCCACTCTTTTAAGTATAGGAAATTCTTGTTCCAAAACTGAAATGTGTTTTGAAATCTAAATCTGCCTTCTGCTGACCTGCAAACTTAGGTTCTCAAAATATTTTATTCAAGCTGGTTTTTTTTATAAATGGATCACTTAGTGTTCTGGGTAGATTTAAAAAAAAAATAAAAATTCATAGGTTCTGCTATAGTCCAAGTCAACCTCTCTGTTAAAAGCAGTCAGCTTGATCCTATGAAGATACTTGTACACAGAACTTCAACGGAAAAGATAATACAATTGGTTCCTAGTTCATGTGGGAAGGTCTTATAGACTTGTAGTACTGCTTAATGTGAGACACAGGCAAACAAGTTGAGCCTTTGTTCTGAATTTCACCTTATTTGATTTTGAAAGCGTGAATGGAAAGGCTAAGCTTAAAACTTGCGTTTTCAGAGCTGCCTGGCTCCTGCTACAGCCCAAACCTCACATTTAACAGTGGATCAATTATGACAACTTACAGGAAGCCATCTTAACAATACATCAGGCAATGAAAACTTAAACTTCTGAAAGTAGTTGTGCAATATAGCTGGTTTAACTACTTACCCCAGATAACTTTGCCCCCTTGTGTCACAAGGCCAAGCTCGCTCACGTTCACCTCGATGACGGTACCCTTGGTAATGACACCCAGCGTTGTATACAAAGGAGAAGAAGGATTCTTTTTTACACCAAGGATAGGTAGGCAAAAAGTAGCTTTAAGTTCAGGATGTGTCACATGTGCCTTCTTGAAACGTAAGCCCTGTCACATAAGAAGTGTTAGAACAAGTTAGTATTTGCTTTAAGGCCTCAAGACTAACCTAGGTGAACACTTTTAGCATATGTCCTCAGCTTCCTATGTTTTGAGAGACTGGCAAAAATGAAACAACCCAGAATACAGAACGCTATCTGCCTGCTACAGAATGCTGGCTTTGTTTAAAAACTGATTAATGACAAGATAAAGCTTTCTGTGTATGTTTTCAGGATGCAAATTTTTAATAATAACACAAGGAGAATACATGCTACCTCAGATGGCTTCTGTTCCACGAAGAAGGTGTTTATGGTAACGCATTTAACAGTGCTACTGGTTATTAAGACAGGTGTGTTTTTTTTTATTCCGGTAAAAGTGAAAAACCTTTCACATCTTGTAAAGTGCTCTTACAGCACTTTCTACCTAGCAACCTGTGCTTTATAAAGGGTACTTTACCATGAAGTACTATAACCTTTTCTGTATCAATAAAAACGTATCCAAGGCTTCTGATTCTGCCCCTCTACTCTGCTCTCGTGAGACCCCACCTGGAATACTGTGTTTAGCTCTGGAGTCCCCAATATGAGAACAACATGGAGCTGCTGGAGCAGGTCCAGAGGAGGGCCACGAAGATGACCCGAGGGCTGGAACATCTCTGCTATGAAGACAGGCTGAGAGAGTTGGGGTTGTTCAGCCTGCAGAAGAGAAGGCTCCGGGGTGATCTTACTGCAGCCTTCCAGTAGCTAAAGGTGGCCTACAGGAAAGCTGGAGAGGGACTTTTTACAAGGGCCTGTAGTGATAGGACAAGGGGCAATGGATTTAAACTGAAAGAAGGGAGATTTAGATTGGATATAAGGAAGAAATTTTTCACTCAGAGGGTGGTGAGGCACTGGAACAGGTTTCCCAGAGAAATTGTAGATGCTCCACCCCTGCAAGTGTTCAAGGCCAGGTTGGATGAGGGTTTGGACAACCTGGTGTAGTGGAGGGTTTCCCTGCCCATGGCAGGGGGGCTGGAACTAGATGATCTTTGAGGTCCCTTCCAACCCTAACCATTCTATGATTCTGTGCAAGATGACCATCAAAATAGTAATGGGGTACGATCCAACAGGCAGCCTGCCTAGTGATTCTGTTGATTCCTGTGAGGAATGAGGTATTTATAGAAAAACTATACTGTCTTAGTGAACCTAACTGTTCCTCCTGTGTGCTACCAGGCTACTAGAGCCCTAGCACTGTTGTTGCAGCTGTGTAAGAAAAGGTCAGACTGGAGGTATTAGCATTTCCCTTGCATACAGTCACAACTGTGTGACTTCAAGCTTACTTAACTAGCCAGAAGGAGAGAGTTCTGGAGTCATAGAACAGAGTTGGCTCCTGCACATGGCAGAATCACAGCAGCTTGGAAAAGAAGCCTCCAACTTTAAAAGCTATTCAAAGTGCGTTTGCTAAAGACTTTCCCCTGCTAATTTGACAGCTTCTAGCTTTAACTTACTGGCATCACCTGAGTTACGGGAGTAAGAGCAGAAAAATTTCAACACAAACTGTGACTGCGGGGACATCTCCCCACCCTCAGGCTATTCTAAATTTAGATTTCTGCAAGGAAACTAATAGGAATGTTCTACATCAGTAGTAAACAAGTGCATTATCATAAAAGAAAGCTTCCTTGCCACAGGAACTCAAAGCAGTAAGTTAAAACGGGAGAGGCAGATAATATCAAGCTTGATCAAGACAAGCTGAGAGCACCTGAAGAGCAGCAGAGGGAATTCCAGACACTCCAGCCATAAAGTCAGATTCATCTGGGACCCAAATTAAATGCCTCTATGCAAACACGCACAGCATGGAGAATAAACATGAGGAGTTAGAGGTGTGTGCACACCTGCAGGGCTATGATCTTTCTAGCATCATGGAGATGTGGTGGGATGAATCCTATGACTGGAGCGTCAGAATGGAAGGATACAGCTCTTTAGGAAGGACAGGCAGGGGAGATGAGGAGGTGTTGCTATGTTAAAGACCAGCTGGAGTGCATGAAGCTCCACCTGGGGATGGAGCAGGAGCCAACTGAGAGCTTATGGATCAGGATTAAAGGGAAAGCAGGGACAGGCGACATTGTAGTGGGGGTCTGCTACAGGCCCCCTTACCAGGAAGACCAGGTGGTTGAGGCCCTCTACAGACAGATGGGAGCAGCCTCACGTTTCACAAGCCCTGGTCCTCATGGAGGACTTCAACCACCTCGATACCTGATGGTGGGACAACACGGCAGGGCATAAGCAATCCAGGAGGTTCCTGGAATGCATTGATGATAACTTCCTTCTCCAAGCGATAGAGGAACCAAAGAGAAGAGATGCTTTGCTGGACCTTGTTCCCAACAACAAGGAGGGGCTGGTGGGAAACACGATGCTCAAGAGCAGGCTTGGCTGCAGTGACCATGAAATAGTGGAGTTCAAGATCCTTAGGCTGGCAAGCAGGGTGCTCAGCAAGCTCACTACCATGGATTTCAGGAGAGCAGCTTTCTGGGATCTGCTTGGTAGAGTACGATGGGATGAAGCCCTGGAGGAAAGAGGGACCCAAGAAAGGTGGTCAATATTCAAGGATCGCCTCCTCCAAGCTCAGGAGCGGTGCATCCCAACAAAGAGGAAGTCAGGCAAAAACACCAGGAGGCCTGCATGGATGAACAAATAGCTCCTGGACCAACTCAAACAAAAAAAGGAAGCCTACAGAAGGTGGAAGCAAGGACAGGTGGTCTGGGAAGAACACAGAGGAATAGTTTAAGCAACCAGGGATCAGATTAGGAAAGCTAAAGCCCTGACAGAATTAAATCTGGACAGCAACATCAAGGGCAACACAAAAAACTTCTATAGGTATGTCAGTGATAAAAGGAGAACTAGGGAAAATGTGGGCCCTCTCCAGAAGGAAATGGGAGAGCTGGCTACCCGGGATATGGAGAAGGCTGAGGTACTTAATGACTCTTTTGCCTCAGTCTTCACTGGCAAAAGCTTTAACCACACTGCCCAAGTCACAGAAGGCAAAGGCAGGGACTGGGAGAATGAAGAACCACCCACTGTAGGAGAAGATCAGGTTCGAGACCATCTAAGGAACCTGGAAGTGACAAGCCAATGGGACCTGATGATGGGAAAAGGGGGAAGATAACCCTCATTTTTAAAAAGGGTGAAAAAAGGAAGACGCAGGGAACTACAGGCCTGTCAGTCTCATCTCTGTGCCTGGCAAGATCATGGAGGAGATCCTCCTGGTGACTACGCTAAGGCATATGGCAAATAAGGAGGTGACTGGTGACAACCAACATGACTTCGCATGACACCCTTGTCTCTAAGCTGGAGAGACATGGATTTAATGGATGGACCACTTGGTGGATAAGGAACTAGTTGGATGGTTGCACTCAGAGTTGCAGTCAACAGCTCAATGTCCAAGTGGAGACCAGCGACGAGTGGTGTCCCTCAGGGGTCAGTGCTATTTAACATCTTTGTCGGCGACATGGACAGTGGGATCAAGTACACCCTCAGCAAGTTTGCAGATGACACCAAGCCGTGTGGTGTGGTCAACACACTGGAGGGAAAGGATGCCATCCAGAGGGACACTGACAGGCTGGAGAGATGGGCCTGTGAGAACCTCATGAAGTTCAACAAGGCCAGATGCAAGGTCCTGCACATGGGTCGGGGCAATCCCAAGCACAACTACAGGGTGGGAGGAGAATGGATTGAGAGCAGCCCTGAGGAAAAGGACTTGGGGGTGCAAGTTGATCAGAAGCTCAACATGAGCCGGCGATGTGCACTGGCAGCCCAGAAAGCCAACCATATCCTGGGCTGCATGACAAGAAGCATGGCCAGCAGGTCGAGGGAGGTGATTCTGCCCCTCTACTCTGCTCTCGTGAAACCCCACCTGGAATAATGCATTCAGTTCTCGAATCCCCCATATGAGAACGACATGGAGCTGCAGGAGCAAGTCCAGAGGAAGGCCATGAAGATGATCAGAGGGCTGGAGCACCGCTCCTATGAAGACAGGCTGAGAGAGTTGGGGCTGTTCAGCCTGGAGAAGACAAGGCTCTGCAGTGATCTTACAGCAGCCTTCCAGTACTTAAAGGGGGCCTACAGGAAAGCTGGAGAGGGACTTTTTAAAAGGGCATGTAGTGACAGGACAAGGGGCAATGGCTTTAAACTGAAAGAGGGCAGATTTCTATTAGACAGAAGCAATAAATTTTTTACAATGAGAGTGGTGAAACACTGGAACAGGTTGTCCAGAGAAGCTGTGGATGCCCCATTCCTGGAAGTGTTCAAGGTTAGGTTGGACGAAGCTTTGAGCAACCTGGTCCAGTGGAAGGTGTTCCTGCCCATGGCAGGGGGTTGGAACTATATGATCTTTAAGGTCTCTTTCAATCCAAACCATGATTCTACGAAAAGAATTAATATGTAAACATTCTTTTAGACTTGAGAACATTACCATTGGTCGAATGAATCGTTCGTATTTAGGAGGCTTCCTAGTAAAGCCATCTCCAACAAAACAAACTTTTGTAACCATTCTCTTCCAGGCCTTCTTTTTTCTCTTTCCTGTACGAATCACTTTTAAAACTTCTGTTTCTCCTTGTGCACGGACTTTTGGCACAGGAACCTCCCATTTTCCCTGTAAGGGGAAAAAAAAAAGTCTTACATGCCACATTGCTAAATGAAAGGTGACAACCAAACCACAAAATAAAATTTCACTAAATAGTAGTGGTACACCATACTTTTTATACAATTCATAGCTACTTATTTTAATTAGCATTTAAAGTTACAAAAATCAAGATATTGCATATGCTTACTTTGTCCTAGATTGGTCAGTTACTCAAGGTTTCAGGTTTCGTATAATATCAGTATTTACACTTTACTCATAGGCTGTAGGTCCCTTGAGCATCAGCAACACAAAGTGGTCACTGTCACAAGTAATACTAAGTATATGAACTTTAACACAGTTACTTACAGCTTTTTCTTTTCTTTTCTGTTTGATCATGTTAGAGAGAACCTTAGCCCGGGACTGGCCCTCTCTGTCCAGCAGGTATGCTGGTACAGCTCCTTTAGGTGTTTTTTCATCATTCTTTTCCTTTGTATTTCTCTTTTCATGCATTTTAATTCTACAAGGAGAGAAAATCGGTATCAAGAGCAGGAAAAAAAAAGGGCTCATTTTTAGATCACAGATATATCCTTTTAACTTAGCTTGTGCCTACTCAAATTTTTCTTTTAAGAGATATTTGTAAACAAATACATATTTATATTTAAGGAATAATCCTAAATAATTTTCAAAGTAAACTAGTAATTTAACTTAATGTAACAACTGACAGACCGCACAAAAGCTTGTCAATTCCTATTAAGACAGGAACACAAGACACGTATCTTATTAACGAATTTCTGAAGGACTTAAAACAAGCAGCCAAGCACTTTGAGAGACAGCAGCCTTCCTCTCTGACAAAAAATAACATAGTACTACTCTTCTATGATGGTAATGCTTACAAATCTGAAGGAATGTGTGTGTGTGTAAAAGGGGTCGTGTTTCATTAATTTTGAGGCCATGTAAGGGAAAAGACTAACGAACTAGTTAACAAATCCAGTACCTTTAAAAGCAGCAGAAGAAAATAACTGTGAACACTTGGAAAACAACAAAAACAATATGGTGGAGAGATATTAATTTCATTAGCAATAAAAAATACTGTTAATAGCGTCGATTTACATCTCTGAACAACAGAGGAAAAAAAACCTTTTGCTTATTTATGCTTGATATTGTAACTTACCCTGGAAGACAAGCCTCATATTCTGCTCAAACACTGTGTACGTTACTCTCTCTGTTAACACTGCTAAAAAAATGCCCGCTGCCTCTTGCTACACTAGGACAGCAGCTGATACAAAAGACCCAAGCAAATTTTTATCATAATCAACATTAGTCACTGCTATTGCTAATGGACACCCATCCTACGGAAAGCTTTTAGGAGCAGAATTGTTGACATCCACTGAGAAGAGAGGAAGCCAGAAACGCCTTCACCGTCGCGAAACCCACTTTCTCCCACGACCCGAGCGCTATTTAAAAGCCTAACGCACGATCCCAGTAATAAGCAGGTTCTTTGTAACGACATTCAACGCCTCGTCTCATCCTTCGGGATGGCCGGACGGCGCCTGAGGAGGGGCGGGTACTCACGTCTTCTTCATCTGTATCTTCTCAGCGTGCCGCTGCTTGTGGTAGAGCTTCGCCTTCAGCCCGATCATCTTCTTGGCCTTCCGCGACCTCTCGTGCGCCTCGCGGCCCTCCTTCTTCCTCTTCCTCTCGTGGTAGTC